TTTGCTGCTCACCCTCTACCTATATGTAGGAACTGGTAACTTCCATTTCATTGCATCTGAATAAGTGTGTGGACATGAAAAGCGTATACAATGAGTAGAAGTTTGTTGGCCTTAAAGGTCCCACTGGACTCAAATTTTGTTCTCCTGCTTCAGACCAACATGGCCACCTACCTGAATCTTACTTACAGATAGTTAGTTCAGTACCTCTACTGGCATAAAATTATTAACAACAAGCTCTTTTGACCAGAAGCCTTGACACATACAGATATTTACTTATTTAAATATTTCTATCCCTAAAATACTTATTTCCTTGTAGTTCAAGACAGATCACAATAATTAGTTAAAAACATTTTCAGTTTAAAAACAAAAAATAAAATAGGAAGCCCCCCATCCCCCCCCCCCCAAAGAGGCCTGCCATTCAGACCCCCTCAAAAGCCCTGGCTAATAGCGCCTTCTAATGAGCTCCAAAGATCTTCACCTTTTCAGGGAGCCCATTCCACAGAGCCATGATGGGAAAAGCCGGATATGGCTGCCTGAAGACTGTAGTTGTTGCACAGTGACACAGGGAAGGAGATGGTCCTTCAAATGTGTGGGTTCCAGGCAATGTTCCCTCTAAGCTGTGGACTCTTGTGAGCAAAAATTGTACTTTGTGAGCTACTGGCATTAAAGTTGTGAGATTGAGTTTTGGCTGCTGCATAAATTAGTGTGTTCTGGAGCCCTCCTTCCTGAGCTAAGACAAAAGTGTGTGAGCCGGAGGCTAAAAAACTGTGAGCTAGCTCACACTAACTCAGCTTAGAGGGAACACTGGTTACCAGGTTGTGAAGGGCTTTAAAGGTCATAAGCAGCATCTTGAATGGAACTCAGACTGACGGCCAAAGTAGGAGTTGCCAGTCTGGAACTCCTCCTCTCTCCTTGCTTCTTTTTCTCCTCAGGCAAAAGCGCTTTCTTAATTGAGGACAACTCCCTCTGCTCCGTTATAATCTCTGGCTCACCCAAAGACGTGGTCACTTGCCCTGCCTGATTTGCGGAAAGTGTGGGGCCGAGTTATTGCCTGCCGCGGCCAGGGGGGATGGCTGCTGATCAGGGAGTGACGGCAACCGAGGGTCCCCAGCTTGAGGCTGTGGTCGATACCAGCGCAAGTCCCGTAATTAAAACAGAGCCACCGGAGCTGACAGGCCTCGTATCAGGTGATGAGGGCACAGCATGGAAAGGGTCTCCACATTGTTCCTGGCTGGGGTTCTTTCGTCGAGGCGACGCTGCCCAGGGTCGGGAAAACCCTGGGAGGATTTCAGAGCTGGGCAATACCCGACCGCATTAAGCAGGAACCGGGTGAAGAGCTGTGGGAAGCCCGGTGGCAGGAATTCCTTAAGGCGATCCAGTCACCGCAAGCAAAGTCCTCAGAGGAGGCTAGAGAATGTGAAGCCAAAGAGATGACTGAGGTTTCTGAGCGTTCAGAAGGGCAGGGGGTGATGGGACTTCTCCTAAGCCACCGAAATGGAACCCTCCAGCCCTCTGCCTCCCCAGAACCTCAGGTTTGTGAGGAAACGAAGGACGAGACCGCTGGAGAAGGGGTTCCCAGCACTGAGACCCAACGCCAGCGCTTCCGGCAGTTGCGCTACCAGGAGACCAAGGGGCCCCGTGAGATCTGCAGCCGGCTGTGGTATCTTTGCCACCGGTGGCTGAAGCCAGAGAAACACACCAAGGTGCTGAGGCAACGGGAGTCTGGGAAGCCAGAGCAGCAGGTGGGAGCATTTATTTTTGAAATATCTTTTAGTGAATTTCCATTATTGTGACAGGCATCCCAAGAATCATTATAGAGCAGAAAGGGACATGGTGAGGTAATTGCATATACATGGCTTGGGACCAGGGTGTCTGAAGGACTGTCTTCTCATGAGAACATAACAAGAGCCCTGCTGGATCAGAGCAGTGGTCCATCTGTTCCAGCATCCTGTCTCCCACAGTAGCCAACCAGTCCTTCTGGATGGCCAACAACAGGGCATAGAGGCCGAGGCCTTCCCCTGATGCTGCAGAGGTCCATCAGTGGCTATTAGCCACAAGGTATAGAGGGAATACTCTGTCTCAGGCAGTGATGCTTTGTATTCTTGGTGCTTGTGGGGGCAACAGTGGGAGGGGCTTCTGGAGTTCTGGCCCTGCTGGTGGACCTCCTGATGGTCCCTGGGTTTTGGCCCCTGTGTGACACAGAGGGGCATTTACAACGGTATAGGTGCCGGTTGGAATCGGTGTACTTACTGACGTTCACACGGCGAACATCTGCCTTCCGTCCCTAACCATTGCAAAGAGCTTTAAACCGTTGTATTCTGCCACTAGGTCCCCAGGCGGTGGTATCCTGAGTGCAACAGTTGTAATCGCTTTACCCCCGTCTGATCACTCTCCACCGTTGTAGAGCCACTTCCGTTCGGAAGCCTGAGGCTTCCGATTTTCGCCCACTTTTTTTTTTTTTTAGGTCGGCGATATGCGCTTGGGCGAAGCTTCACCCCAGCGTTTGTTTAAAAAAAAAGAGAGAAAAGGTCCTTAGTTTAATGTTTTAGAGGAGTCCAGGACCTCAGGGAGGCCTGTTTGCTCTTTAAACTTTAAAGGTAAGTCCTCTCTTCAGGACATGCTTTTCTGGACGGGGTGTTTTGCGCATGCATGAAGATCGCCATTCTGTGGATGGCTGCCTATGTGCATGTGCAAACTGAATTTAAAAAAACAAACAAACCGCCGACGCCCGCTGTGTGTGAATGGGCATACAGCGATGGGCTCCACAGAAAGGAGGTAAGTGTGATTGTTTTTCAGCCAGCATAAACTGCAACGGTTCCAACCGGTACAGTTTATGCCGGCTGAAACGCCCCGGCTGAATGCACCCAGAGTGTGGGACTGGATGGGCCACTGGCCTCATCCAACATGGCTTCTCTTCTGTTCTTCTGACTCTTGCTGTTTTTTACTGCTACAGGCAGACTAACACGGCTACCCATCTCGATCTTTATTTATCGCTGCCTTTCAGCCCACAAGGTTCTTCTCAAACATGATGCTGGGCACTCTCTTAATGAGGTGATAAACCCTTGTTTAGCCTTGGCTGCTTATGATTATAAATAAGGGCACACATGGAGTTTCTTTAATAGAAAATAATTTCCCTGCATAGAGAAAGCTATGATGTCAAGATGAAGAGCAGTACAGAACACTCTTCCCTGAGGTGATAGATATTGTAGAGCTTGAAAAGGTGCAGAAAAACTGAAATGATCAGGGAGCTACAGATTGTTCTGTGAGGATCAGTTAAAACACTTAGGTCTGTTTAGCTTAGAAAAAAGGCATGTAAGGGAAGACATGAAAGAGGCCTATAAAATTATGCATGTCGTGGAGACACGGGACATAATACTAGAATTCTCCCATAATACATCCACTGAAGCTGAAAGGTGGGAGATTCGTGACAGACAAGAGGAAGTCCTTTTTCACGCAGCACTTCGTTAAACTGTGGAACTCCCTGCCACAGGATGTGGTCATGGCTGCCACCTTGGAAGGCTTTAAAAAGGAGAGTGGACAACTTCATGGAGGACAGGGCTGCCAAGGGCTGCTAGTCACGACCCCCAATGCTCCCTCTAAGCTGTGGAGTCTTGTGAGCAGTGTTCCCTCTAAGCTGAGTTAGTGTAAGCTGAGTTAGTGTGAGCTAGCTCACAGTTTTTTAGCCTCCGGTTCACAGATTTTTGTCTTCGCTCAGGAAGGGTGGCTCCAGAGCAAACAAATGTATGCAGGAGCCAAAGCGCTGGCTCACAACTTTAATGCCTGTAGCTCACAAAGTAGATTTTTTTGCTCACCAGACTCTACAGCTTAGAGGGAACATTGCAGTTGTGAACAAAATTTCTACTGTGTGAGCTACTGGCATTAAAGTGGTGAGCGAGCGATTTGGCCGCTGCATCAGTTAGTTTGCTCTGGAGCCCTCCTCCCTAAGCTAAGACAAAAATGTGTGAGCTGGAGGCTAAAAAAAACGGTGATCTGGCTCACACTAACTCAGCTTAGAGGGAACACTGGTCACGACAGGTATCTCCTCCCTGCAGTACTAGAGGAAGTAGGCCTTTTCGTAGCAGTAGCCAAGGAGCCCAGGCAGGATGATTCTGTTTCTGGTCTTCCTAGAGGCAGCTGGTTGGCCACTCTGTGAAAAAGGATACTGGACTAGATAGACCTTTGGTAGGTTTGCCAGCTTTGGGTTGGGAAATACCTGGAGATTTTGCAGGTGGAGCCTCAGGAGGGCGGAGTTTTGGGAGGGGAGGGACTTCGATTGGGTATGATGCCACAGAGTCCAACTTCCAAAGGGGCCATTTTCTGCAGGTGGACAAATCTCTTGTCACCTGGAGATCAGTCGTAATAGCAGGAGATCTCCAGCCACCACCTGGAGGCTGGCAACCCTAGCCTTTGGGCTGATCCAGCAGGGCTCTTTTTATGTTCTTATGATCATTACAAACCAATTCCAAAAGGAAGACCCATGGAGAATAAACTTCTCTTTTTTTTTGGTGTAGTGGTTAAGTGTGCGGACTCTAATCTGGGAGAACCGGGTTTGATTCCCCACTCTTCCTCTTGCACCTGCTGATGTGACCTTGGGTCAGTCACAAGCTCTGGCACAGCTGAAAGAGCAGTTTGTGTCAGAGTTCTCTCAGCCCCACCCACCTCACAGGGTGTCTGTTGTGGGGAGGGGAAGGGAAAGGAGTTTGTAAGCCGCTCTGAGACTTCAAGTGAAGGGCGGGGTATAAAGCCAATCTCTTCTTCTAAAAAAAAGAGGGGGGGCAAAGTTTGCCATATTTTGGAATCCCCCCATTCATTATTTTTTTTAGAGAAATGGTCGTTGGAGTTTCATTGCAGGAATTTACATCTTATGTGAATGTAGGCCTTCAACAACCTGGGAAAGCCCTACTCAGAGCCAATGTGATGTAGACCAGGGTCCCCAACCTTTTTGAACCTGAAGGCACCTTTAGAATTCTGGCATAGGGCAGTGGACACATAACACAACCACAAAATGGCTGCCAGATGAGGCGGAGCCAACCACAAAATGGCAGGGAGTGAGGTAATGCATAACTCTCTAACAATAACTCTTCAACATTTCAGGCAGAAGCTCTGTTCCAACAGGATGCCTTTTTAAGTTAACAAAACTGTTTAAAAAGCGTTGTCTTGCATACACACAGATTCCCTTCAGTCACGTAGTGAAGTTCCTTGGAAGGAATCCACACAGCCAATCAAAAGTCTTGTTGGACACCTGGCTCCACCCGCTTTTATTTATTTATTTATTTATTTTGGGACTTATACCCCACCCTATCCAAACGGCTCAGGGCGGCTTTCTAAAACCATTTGACAGGAGCCGGGAAAGATGTCAGCAGGCCAGCTGTATTCTCTCCTGCATAAACCCTCTCAGGCCACCCTATCATACAGGGCTGTTGTGAGGATTAAACCGGGGAAGGGTGAACTATGTACTCCTTCCTCATTGTGGAGGCAGGGGTAAAGAGAAAAATGGAGTAAGAATCATAGGAAATAGCATGTACCTGTTGGTTTTAGTTGGTGATCTTCTTCTGGTTGCTATTCCAGGTGCTGGGAACATTTGAGGAGGTCGTGGTGAGCTTTTCCGAAGTAGACCAGGCATCCCCTGATGCTGCAGAGAAACAGCCCTGCCGAGAGATCAAGCAGGAAAACGATGGGGATGTTGCTTTGCTGGGTAAAGATGCCTCTTATGCCAGGAATCTGGGATGTGTACATGTGTGTGGGGGGAGGAGGGGTTATATTTGTTTGACCTCTTTATTTGTGGTGGGTACCTGCTCTTTTTTAAGCACTGGCATTCTTGGAAGTGATTTATGAGAGAGTGGCCACGTGTCCTCTGTCACATTTAGTTTGGCTCTAAGACGGAATGATTATCCTAGAAGAACAAGCACACGGAAGCTTATGCCCAGAAATAAACTTTGTTGGTTTTAAAGGTGCCACTAGACTTGAACTTCGTTCTGTTGCTTCAGACCAACACGGCTACCCATCCGAATCTATCCCAGAAGAAGTGTAAGCACAACGTAGACAAATGGGGTAGCATCCAGGAATGTCGGAAGGCTGTTAATCTTGCTGATGGAATTGGGGGGCTGGCTTTCCGCTGGCTCTGGATTCAGGCACAGGCAAAGAGGGGAAGGGGTCCCTGTATGAACTCTGCAATGTGTGTAGTGTAAAGTAAAGGTAAAGGTTTCCCTTGCTCGAAAGTGTTGCTTTGCTGGGTAAAGATGCCTCTTATGCCAGGAATCTGGGATGTGTACATGTGTGTGGGGGGAGGAGGGGTTATATTTGTTTGACCTCTTTATTTGTGGTGGGTACCTGCTCTTTTTTAAGCACTGGCATTCTTGGAAGTGATTTATGAGAGAGTGGCCACGTGTCCTCTGTCACATTTAGTTTGGCTCTAAGACGGAATGATTATCCTAGAAGAACAAGCACACGGAAGCTTATGCCCAGAAATAAACTTTGTTGGTTTTAAAGGTGCCACTAGACTTGAACTTCGTTCTGTTGCTTCAGACCAACACGGCTACCCATCCGAATCTATCCCAGAAGAAGTGTAAGCACAACGTAGACAAATGGGGTGGCATCCAGGAATGTCGGAAGGCTGTTAATCTTGCTGATGGAATTGGGGGGCTGGCTTTCCGCTGGCTCTGGATTCAGGCACAGGCAAAGAGGGGAAGGGGTCCCTGTATGATCCCTGCAATATGTGTAGTGTAAAGTAAAGGTAAAGGTTTCCCTTGCTCGAAAGCCAGTCGAGTCCAACTCTAGGGTTGCGGTGCTCATCTCCGTTTCCAAGCCGAAGAGCCAGCACTGTCTGAAGACATTTCCGTGGTCATGTGGCCAGCATGACTAAACACCGAGGCACACGGAACGCTGTTACCTTCCCACTGAAGTGGTACCTATTTATCTACTTGCAATTTCTTGCTTTCGAACTGCTAGATTGGCAGGAGTAATAGTGTAGTGTAGTGTAAAGGTAAAGGTAAAGGTTCCCTTGCTCGAAAGCCAGTCGAGTCCGACTCTAGGGTTGCGGTGCTCGTCTCCCGTTTCAAAGCCGAAGAGCCAGCGCTGTCCGAAGACGTTTCCGTGGTCGTGTGGCCGGCATGACTAAACACCAAGGCGCATGGAACGCTGTTACTTATCTACTTGCAATTTCTTGCTTTCGAACTGCTAGGTTGACAGGAGCTGGAACTAGAGACGGGAGCTCACTCCATCATGCGGGACACTCGGGTCTCGAACTGCTGAACTACACCTTCCACAGCCTGCAGTTCAGCGTCTTAACCACTTGAGCCACTGTAGTGTAGTGTAGTGCAGTGTAGTGTAAGCCACCGTAAAACAAGGGGAAAGGTGGGATATAAATGCTTTAATAAATAACTCGTGGTTAGAGCGTGGGACTAGAATCTGGGAGGTACACACTGGAATCCTTGCTCTGCCATGGAAGCTTGCTGGGTGACCTTGGGCCAGTCACACACTCTCAGCCTAGCCTCCAAGGTAGTTGAGAGGATAAAATGCAGGTTGAGGAGAATGATGTAAGCCACCTTGGGCTGCCATTGGAGAGAAAGGTGGGCTATAAATGAAGTAAATAAATGTGGCTTAAAAAGCAGGAAACAGCCACGTTGGCCCACACAGAATCCAGAAAAAGGAGGGAAAAAATTATGTCACGGTCGGATCATTTCCTGAGGCTAACCAGAATGCCACAGAAACAATGTATTGCCATGATAAAAGCCTGAGTCCAGGGGGGCACACACACTTCTTCAGCTTGTACCCAGAATAAAACTTTGTGGGTCTTAAAGGTGCCAATGGACTCAGACTTTGCTCTGCTGTCTCAGACCAGCAAGGCTGCCCGCCTGTTGCCATGACAGGCGTACCTCCAAATCCCCAGCTTTCATTTCAAAAAAGATGAGTCTGTAGCACCCCTTCCTTTCTGCAATACCCTTTCCCCTTATAACTCCAAAAAGTGACAGACTTTTTACACACACAAAAATGAAAGCGGGCCCCTGACCTGGATAGCCCAGGCAAGCCCGATCTTGTCAGATCTCGGAAGCTAAGCAGGGCCGGCCCCGGCCAGGACTTGGATGGGAGGCCTCCTTGGAATACCAGAGTGCGGAGGCGGGGGCAGGCTTTGTTCAGCCACCTCTCTGAATATCTTCCAGGCCCCCAGTGGGGGTCAGTCACCAGAGGTCACCATGACTTCCAGGTGCACACACACTCACTCACATGCACACGCACACACACACTTAAAAACACCCCCCAAAAAGAAAGAAAGGCGGCATTCCAGAGGAGCTAGCAGACTATGGTAAGAGATCATTACAGCATTACTGTGTTTGAAAAATAATTGTTGTTTTTTAAAGCCCTCTGGTGGCACAATGAGATGAGTGCAAGGAAAATGGCCCCTGGTGGAAGAAGATGTACACAACATTTCCAAGGACACCCCCACTGAGAATTCTTCTGCATCCTGTGGGTGTAGCACAGGTTCCCCAGGTCCTAATCTAACACTCTGTTGATTACACCAGCCTGTCAGATACAAGGCCTGGCTGCATGAGTAATTTATATATGAAGGCTCTTGATCTGTCGAGCTCAATATCACCTACTCTGAGGGTCAGTGTCCTTCCAAAGTCTCAGGTCAAGATCTTTCCCATTAAGAACATAAGAGAAGCCATGCTGGATCAGGCCAGTGGCCCATCCAGTCCAACACTCCATGTCACACAATGGCCAAAACCCAGAGGCCATCAGGAGGTCCACCAGTGGGTCCAGGACTCCAGAAGCCCTCCCACAGTGACCCCCAAGCACCATATGAAGAGCCTTGCTGGATCAAATCAGTGATCCATCTAGTCCAGCATCCTGACTCAAATAATGGTCATCCGGTTCCTCTGGAGGACCAACAACAGGCCAAGGCCTTCCCCTGATGTTGCCTCTTGGCATTGGTAGTCAGAGATTTACTGCCTCTGAACATGGAGGTTCCCTTTAGTCACCATGGCTAGTAGCCACTGACAGACCTATCATCTGTGAATCAGTTTAATCCCCGGTTAAAGTTGTCATTATCTGCTCCTTTCAGCTGGAGCTGCCAAGGACTGAATCTGAGACCAAGTAGATGCTCTGAGAGCCAGTTTGGTGTAGTGATTAGGAGTACAGAATCTAATCTGGGAGAACTGGGTTTGATTCCCCACTGCTCCACATGCAACTGCTGGTGTGACCTTGGGTCAGTCATAAGTTCTTTCAGAGCTGTTCTCTCAAGAGCAGTTCTTGAAAGAGCTTTCTCAGCCCCACCTACCTCACAGGGTGTCTGTGGAGGGGAGGGGAGGGGAAAGGAGATTGTAAGCCGCTCTGAGACTCCGGGTAATGAAGGGTGGGGTATAAATCCAATCTCTTCTTCTTCTTCCTTATACAGAATGGCTTTTCTGAAGAACTGTGCATGCACATGAAAGCTTGTAACCAAAATTAATGTGTTGATCTTAAAGGTGCCACTGGACTCAAGCTTTGATCTATTGCTTCAGACCAACATGGCTACCCACCTGAATCTATTTTCTGTCTTCGTCATCCTCCACAACAGTAGCTTTTGTGTGTTCTTTGTCTGACGGTTCTCTGAGTCTTTTTTTGTGCTCCAGTCAGGATTTTCTCTTTATCCCATTAGGCATTGGCTGGGAGAGAGGAACCGATGGGGACCCGCATGGAGCATTGCTGGAAAGAAGCACGTGTCAAGATACAGAAGAATGTGCTGGGAAACCTGATGAACTGAAAAGGCAGCAGAAGAACAGAGCAGAGAAGTGGAAAGAGAAATCCAGTGTGTTCCCCCCTGAATTTAAAGTCAAACAGAGATTACATGAAGGCAAGCGAAGATATTCGTGCAGTGTCTGTGGGAAAGGCTTCACTTGCAAATCAAGCCTGAATAGACACCAGGTAACCCACACGGGGGAGAACCCACATAAATGCCCACACTGTGGGGAAAAATTCACTCGGAGGGCTAGCCTCATTGTCCATCAGAGAATCCACACAGGCGAGAAACCATATAAATGTTTCACGTGTGGGAAAAGTTTCAGTGTGAACTCGACACTTATCCGGCATCAGAGGATCCACACAGGCGAGAAACCATACCCGTGCTTTGACTGCGGTGAAAGCTTCAACCAGCGTACGATCCTGATCTCACACCAGCGAATCCACACGGGGGAGAAACCCTATCGATGCTTGGACTGCGGCGAAAGCTTTCGGGACAAGTCAAGCCATATCAGGCACCAGAGGATTCACACGGGGGAGAAGCCGTACCAGTGTGCAGACTGCGGCGTGAGCTTCCGTGATAAATCAAGCCGTATCAGGCATCAAAGAATCCACACGGGAGAGAAGCCCTATAAATGCCTGGACTGCGGGGAAAGCTTCAGCCAGAGCTCCACCCTCATTAGACACCGAAGGGTTCACACTGGTGCAATGACACACAAGTGCCCAGACCATGTGGAATCCTTGCAAAATAAACCTGATCTTAAAAGACATCAGGATGTTCACACAGAAGAGAAAACACACTACTACCCAGACTGTGGTGAAACCAACAGTCCGGTGCCAAACTTGACATGATAAGAGGTTTACAAAATTCTGCACGGGATAGAGAAGGCAGAGAAAGAAGTACTTTTCTCCCTTTGTCACAATACACAAATTTGTGGGCACTCAAAAGACATTAATGAGCAGTAGGCTTGGAACAGATAAAAGGAGGTGCTTCTTCACTCAAAGAGTCATTAACACGTGGATTCACAGCCGCAGGAAGTGCTGGTGGCTACAAGCAGAGACAGCTTCAAGAGGGGACTGGATAAACATCTGGAGCAGAGGTCCATCAGTGGCAATTAGCCACAAGGTATAGATGGAACGCTCTGTCTGGGGCAAGTGATGCTCTGTATTCTTGGTGCTTGTGGGGCAACAGTGGGAGGGCTTCTGGAGTTCTGGCTCGCTGGTGGACCTCCTGATGGCACCTGAGTTTTTGGCCACTATGTGACACAGAGTGTTGGACTGGATGGGCCATTGGCCTGATCCAACATGGCTTCTCTTATGTTCTTAATGCACACAGGAGAGAAACAGTAGCCATGTATTCACTGTAGCAAAGTTTTAGCTGTATTGTATACCTTGCTAATTATCCAGAAGCACAATTACGAGGGAGTGCCCTCCTATTCCTAACTATTCCTCAACAAGCCCATTGGAGTTGGCAAGAAATCCCTGCCAACTATAGAATGCCCTCACTGCCCATGGGATGGGCAGTGATGTCATCTTGGAGAGGGGTTATGGAATCACTGCCCATCCCCACAATAAATTTCACTCTACGGTTGATGAGTATCCTGGCAGTTTTTCTGTCTCTTCATGCATTGATCCAAGGGGTATAAGAAAGGGTGCAGGAAGGCAGTATACATATATCCCTCCTTCCTCAAGAGGTGACTCATGGAAGACAGTGGGCTGCTTCTTCTTCCAAACCATCATGCCCCCCTGTCTGCAGGGATGAGTCTTGATCCCTCCCCACACTACCTCTGAGAACCAGTTACTGGAGGGGGGGGGGCCAGCAACAGCAAATGAGTACAGCTGCCTTTGTTTAATTTCTACCAATTCCTCCCCCTCAAATGCTGCAGATCCTCACTTTGCCCTCTGATAACCCCCCCCCCCACAAAATATCTGCAGCAAGAAAGTTCCCTCTCCACAAAGAAGAAGAGAAGAGATAAAAGGAAGTACTTCTTCACCCAAAGAGTGATTAACACTTGGAATTCACTGCCACAGGAAGTGGTGGCGGCTACAAGCATGGACGGCTTCAAAAGGGAATTAGATAAGCATATGGAGCAGAGGTCCATCAGTGGCTATTAGCCACAAGGTATAGCTAGGGGCTCTGGGGCAAGTGATGCTCTGTCATCTTGGTGCTTTGGGGGGTCAACAGTGGGAGGACTTCTAATGTCCTGGCCCCACTGGTGGACCTCCTGATGGCACTGGTATTTCTGGCCATCCAACATTGGCATCTCTTATGTTCTTATGTTCTTAGAGATTTGATTTATACCCTGCCCTTCACTATCCAAGGGAGTCTCAGAGCGGCCTTTCCCTTCCCCTCCCAATAACAGACACCCTGTGAAGTAGGTGGGGCTGAGAGAGCTCTTGACAGAAACTGCTCTTTTTCAAGAACAGCTGTGCCAGAACTACTGCTTGCCCAAGGTCATCCAGCCAGGTGCAAGTGGAGGAGTGGGGAATCAAACCCGGTTCTCCCAGATTAGAGTCCACGCACTTAACCACTACACCAAACAGAGCCTGAGGATAGTTAGATACACACTGTGGCGGTATGGCAGCTACAAACCATGGCAGTTAAGAATAAAACCTCCTTGTACAGCAGCAGTCTAGGTCTCAGTACAGGATTGTTGGGGCTGAACGACAGGGAAGGGCTGATGCCTTTGTGTGCTGTTCATGAACCTTCTGGGCTTGCCACTGGCTGGGGAATCGAAGGCCAGAGGCAGACCAATCTGATCTGTAAGACACGTCCTTCTCTGAACCATAATTTGGCCACATGCACCAAAGTATGACCCAGCTATGGAAATAAACTGATAAATGCGGACTCAATAGGCTTCACAATGACTCCGGGGAAAAGGACAGAGTCCCATTTTGCTCAATCATAGCAATACAAATTAAGACTAAACCAACATTTGGAAAGGGATATGGAATGGTATGGTATAGCCTGAGCTCAGAAGCTAAGCAGGGTCACTACTTGAACAGGAGGCCACCAAGGAAGACACTGCAGAGGAAGGTAATGGCAAACCACCTCTGTTGGGGCTGCCGTTAAGTTGATTGCAACTTGACGGCACTTATTTATGTAAGATGCCGAAAAAATAAAGGAAGGCAAATATTAGATATAAGAAGAACAAACAGCCCTGTATTTCCCTAGCTCAGCGGTGGCAAACCTACGGCACGGGTGCCAGAGGTGGCACTCAGAGCCCTCTCTGTGGGCACGCGTGCCATTGCCCCAGCCAGGCCCAGACCATCATTAAAGTGTCGAATTCTCTGCCAAATAATTTTAAGTAAGCGAAAGCATTTGGGATTGCTTTCCTTACTTTGTTTGGATCATCTTAAGTTAATGTATGAGTTGTTTTTTCTAAAGTAAAACCTCAGTATTCAGGTTAAATTGCCGTGTTGGCACTTTGCAATCAATAAGTGGGTTTTGGGTTGCAGTCTGGGCACTCGGTCTCTAAAAGGTTCGCCATCACTGCCCTAGCTGTAAAATTCATTACTGTTTTTTATCGATGATCTGCTAGCAGAATTGGTTGGCCACTGTGTGAGAGAGGATTCTGGACTAGATGGACCACTGGTCTGATCCAGCAGGGCTTTTCTTGGGTTCTTACTAAATTCCCATCCTATTCGTTCTCCAGGGAACACAGTGTGGCCCACATGATGCTCCCAACAACAACCCTGTGAAGTAGGCCAGGCTAAGGAAGGAGGACTGGTTCAGGGGTGACCACATGTAGCTGCCTTCTGTTGAGTCAGACCCGGGTTCTGTCCAGATTGTTCTAGTCTTCAGATCCAGAGCTGTCAGCCCTCCTTGGAGCAGAGAAGGGGCCAGCTTGCCCTGCTCCTTCCAACTCCTGCTCTGCACGTGGGACCCCGAGAGACCACCCTTGGCGTGGCTGCCCAACCTTGGGGGACCTTCCACTTCCTTACCCTTGCGCTCTTTATCCATGAGATGCATAAGATGGATCATTTAGTTAGTTAGTTATTGCCAGGGGTCATTTTGTAGAAAAAGAGGGGCAGGAGCTCATTAGCATAACTCATTAGCATAACTTATTTGCATATGCCACATCCCCTGACATCATCGGAAGTGTGTCAGAAGGCTCAGGCTCCACTGGACTGTTTTGGATTGCTAGCTATTGGGGGGGGGG